ATATATACCACTGATTTGAATAAAAACTCAGGTGAAGCACTTTGATTTCTACGCCATGCTCTACAAAACAAGCCCAAGTTGCCTATAGTTATCGTAATGATATGGAGGATTTCCTCGCATCAACACGCTAATCAAAGCAAAATTATTTATTCATACAACGAGCACATCTCATAATGTCATCTCACCTTACATACAAAGCTATAAGGAATGGCCGGGAGGAGAGAGGCCACCGCGCCGCGAGATTGACGGTCGCTCGAGTAGAACCAATTGGCACAGTCAGTCGCGCACCTGTAGCCGTGCTGGACCATGCCAGAGCCCATTCATGCTTTGGGCGAGCGAGGCACGCCACACTTGACCTTTCCCAGATAATGTATCTAATAAATCCGCCCAGAACTTCTGTATTGACTGATTGCCGACCGTGGAGCGGCGGCCGGCCGGCTGGCCTGTTGCGCCCGCACTGAGAACTGTGTCTGTCAGCGTCCCCACTGAAAGATCCCGGTGTAGCTGGCTGATAAGGCCCACAGACGATATTTGGCCATGCTCTGCGTCTAGCAGACCCTGCTTCAGCCGCTGACATATCTGATCCAGAGTCGAGCGCTGTGACCACTGACCAAACACATATCATGTCAGACTGGAGCTACACTTGACAAGTGTCGGTCATCATATATTTTTCAAACTCAAAATATTTTAACCCTAGAACGCCTAGGGGGGGGGGTTGTATCACCCCCCCCCCCCTGAGGTTTTTTCGAAGTGCACGCTAAACGGCTTGTCGTAGCGGGCTGAAATTTTCAATACCCTCTGGGGCAACCTTTGCGCATCTTTTGCCGAAAAAAAATTGATCGGGTCATGTCAGGTCACGGAGTTATGACGTCATAAGAGGTACAGCCTCCGGCCGACAGTTACCAAACGTGTGCGCCGAATCCCTAGGTTTTCTGCCGGTGATACCCACATTGTTTGATGGATCATGATGAAACTTCCCATGCATGTTGGGGCAAGCATTGGCTATCATGTGGTGCAAGAAAATTGACCGGGTCAGGTCAGGTCACGGAGTTATGACGTCACAAGAGGAACAGCGTCCGGTACTATTTTTGAAAAGCGCCCGAACCACTATTTTGCTAATTCTTGTCACCTCAATGGGAATATGCAGCAATATTAGCTTCTATAGGGAGCAAATGAACCTCCCAAATCCAAAAATACAATCAGATTTCAAAAATTTAAATTTTGATTTTTCGAATTTCTGCCGCCGACTGTAACCTTGCCGACTTCCGGCGCTCCCAACGCGCCATTTTTAGAGCTAGGGAAACGAAATACATACCAAACGATAGAGAATTGATCAAGGAACACGATAGTGAAGGTTTCAAGTCGATATCTCCCACCGTTTTGCCGCAATCGCCGCCGAAAGTTGAAAAAAGTATATTTTTCCGAAAATTTGACCTTTGACCGGTCAAAAGTGGGTCAAATGTTGACCTAGGACCAAAAATATACCACCAATCGCGAGATCTCGTTGAGAGCAATCCGTTGGTTTTTTCCTCTAAGCTCTACGACCTTCCGTTTCGAAACGCCAGGGGGGGTCGTAACAACCCCCCCCCCTGGTCGTTCGTGTTATGAGAAATGGCCTGGTCGTGCGAGGGTTAAAATTTGAATTCAAACAAAACAAAAAGACGCTAATACTTTTATCAATGATACGCAAACATTTCTTACGCCCAGATGGATAAGCTCAGATAGAAAACAAATTTAGCTCAGGTAGAAAGCAGGCTGACAGTCGCCTTCCATTAGCTCCGAGCTACCTGCCGCCTCCGTCACTCTCCGCGCCTTCCCATCTCACATGACACGTGGCGCCGACTCGGCAATATTCCCAGAGACTGGACAGCGAGTGCATCAGCGACTGTCCGTGACCGCTGCTATGGCAACGAGCACCGGCCGCAGCAACAGTCGAGCGCCTGATTTAGCGACTCATCGGACACCGACAGGCCAGAGCTCTTTCAGGTGTCCCGTTAGACCGGCTAGGTCAGATGTTACTGCGGGCAGCAGCTCACAGACGGACATCCAGTCCGAACGGTATACCGACGCGGTAAATGGCATGGTGTCAACTGATGCTTCACCGAGGCCGGTGGAGGAGAGTGGGTAGGATGTAGGAGAGAAATGGGAGAGAGAGAGAGAGAGAGAGAGAGAGAGAGAGGGGGGGAGGAGAGAGAGAAAAGAGTGAGATAGGGGGAGAAGAGAGTGAAGGAAGCAGAGGGAGAGAGGGGAGAGAGAGAAAAGAGTGAGATAGGGGGAGAAGAGAGTGAAGGAAGCAGAGGGAGAGAGGGGAGAGAGAGAACAGGTAAAAGTAAATAAGAGAACAGGCTGACTGTGGCTATTGGGATATGTTCATCAAAGTTTGGGACAAGCTAACTACACAAAAAAAATCATAAGGTCACAAGATTCAGTAAGACGTCATCTCACATAATCCCACATTGGTTGGATATTGGAACGAACGGGCCGACAGCTGTGTTGAGAAGTGCACTCAGCTCACCATTTAGATGTCACCCAAGGCTTGTGACTCGTCATATTGGCACTGACATGACGTCTTCGCTAATTTTCGATAGATGCCAAACATCAAAGCTACTCGCATTGTAAAAGCCTGGTGCAGTTTGTCCGAGGATTCCATATTTCTATAGTGTGTCTTTGTGCATATGTTGATTTGCTGAATTTCAAACAATCAGAGAACTAGAATTAAGAATAACGAATGAATATGGTCACTAGCGTTTCCTGATGGCAGTTTGGTTGACACTTGGGTTCATGGGAGCTGTGATGGAACTTGAAAGTTTTTGTCAGGACAGGTTATAGGGACTATCCCACCTTCTAAAATGTTGTTAAAACCAGTTAAATTGTGCCCGACTTTATAGATTGGATGACCAGGAACACGGTTCTGGCATTTATTTTTCATTAAACATCTTAGGCTTCCCATATTCCAAACACAAACTTTCAAATATGTGACGTCACAGCCCAAAATTACCTCCTTTCCCAGGCCACATTACTGTCATAAAGCTGATTCTTTTTACTCTGTATAGGCACCACAACAAAGTTCAGACCAAGTTTTAAGCGATTTTTCAACGAACAAACCCATTTAAATCAGAATGACTAAACGAGGTGACGTCACACTAACGGTCGCTCCATGTTGAAGATAGGGCCTTGCACAAGGCCCATTTTCAAATGAAGGGAACGAATTTCTTCAACACCAAGAGGCCGCGGGGGTTGCAACCTAGATAGATAGTGGTTTCTGAACCTCGCCGCAAACTTGGCTATCTCAACTCAAACCCAATGTTAAAGGTGGGATAGTCCCTTTAAAGGAGCCAAATCTGTCTATTTGTACGACTATTATTCTTCCCTAAAATCACCGTAGATCAAATACTTCGAAGTTCGAACCTTTAAAGTGCATAATGCATATGCTTTTTTACTTCATTTCGTCTTATGCTATGTAGTTTTTACTCCGTCATGTCCCTCCTGATACCTAGATCGGGCCTGCACGCACACTGTTCATAAATTCTTCGAAACTTGCTCTTCACTTTATCACCCACACCCAGCATCCATCCGTGTCGGTGCCAGATCATATTCTATGTACCATGCACTGCAACAACGTATCGGTTAAGCAGTCTGAATTCAACGCAATTTGTCAAACATTAACAAAACATGCATAGCTAAAGCCGTAAATATTGCGACTGCTTGCACGACATATTCATTTTGGATGACATCAAAGGCTGCCTCACAATAATGTCAGTTCAATTATATGGATAAATTATTAGTTTGCAATATAAAACATATTTCAAACATGTTTAATAGCCGTTTTCACGACGGCCATCTGGTACACATTTGGTGCACATCTGGTACAGATTAGGTGCAGATTTGGTCAAATCAGGTTCAGTGTGTCTCTTAGCAGCTATCAGCTAGGGTTGCACTAATTGCTTATATGCCTGCTTTGTCATATTATCAGAGAGCATCATTGATTAAAACACTGAAATAAATTCATAAAATGAGGATATTTGTTGTAAAAGAAATTAGGTGCAGATTTGGTCAAATCAGGTGCATTCGCCGGATAGCCCGTCGTGGAAACGGCTAATATCTCTTTACCAATGAAATACATGTGATACAATACAAATATCTGCATAAAGTGTTACACCATTACGTAATGCATTGAGCTCCACCCTATTGCAAGTTGCAACCCTTTTATGGTCACTGGCATTCTATCGGGAACGTTCGCGCCATGCACCTTCCACTGTTTACCTTCCAATCGAATTTTAGCCACATTCAATCACAATTGTTGCTGTGTGTGGCGTTAAAGTGTGTTTGGTGCAGGGTGTACTGTGGCGCAGAAAGAGTTTCACCGGCAGCCCGATACCGGCTCTCACTAGCCTCTCACCAGCAGCCGCCTGTTACCAGTTCTCACTAGCGGCCTGTCACCACCTGTCACAAGCAGCTATTGTTGCCTGTTACCGGCTGCACTTCCCCGCCTCACTGGGAGCTGTCACCAACCTTCCCCATCTGTCTCTCACCGACATTCCCCATCGGTCTCTCACCACCTCCCAGTGGCCTCTCATCGCCTCCCAGTGGCCTTTCATCGTCTCTCACCAGCAGTGTATTACAGCTTCCCATCAGACCCCACCACCGTCTCTTACGCTTCTCAACAAGCATCACTGGCAGCCCCTTAGCGCCCCTAACCAGGAGCCCTCTCATCGCCTCCCCAGGAGCTTTTCACCGCCTGACAGTGGCCTCTCACCGCCTCTCACCAGCAACGAGTCACTGTCGCTCACACCTCTCAACACCGAACACAGGCAGCCATTTAGGACTCCTCGCCAGAGGCCCCTTCGCGCTTCCCCAGAGGATCCCTCACACCTTCCGAATAGCCCCTCATCGTCGACCAAGCACACTCTCACCACCCTCACCAACGGTGTCTCACCGTTTCTCACCATCTCCCCAGCAGCCTCTCTCCCCGTCCCCGCGGGTCTCTCACCGCCGCTCACCTGGTGGCAGTGTGGCCATCAGAGCGATCCAGAGCAGGCTGGCGCGACAGCCGGCCGAGGAGGCGGTCATGGTGGCACGGCACCACCTCAATATCGGCTCTGGTCAGCGCATTCCGAGCGAGCTCGGCCCGTGACGGCGGACGGCGGCGGCGGCGCGACTGGCGGCGGTCGTCGCTGCCGACGGCGGGCCACCTCGCGCGCGCAGCCACTCAATAACCGGTGAGACGGCGGCCAGGTATCCGTCGGCGCGCCGCCGCCGCCGCTGCTGCCCTCGGCACGCCCGGACCTGTTGCCCGCCGTCCGTCCGTGTGGATACAGCGGCGAATCAGCGCACCGATTGGGACTGGCCAAAGCCAGCTTCTGGCTGACACGCCGTGTGCAGCGGGCTAATACTTACATATTACGTGGGTTACCACAGATACGATGCGTCGGTGCTGCCGAAGCAACCGCCACTGTAAGCAACGGTTAGGTACGCGTGCTCGCCTGATTCGGGTACAAGCAAGATAAATCATTTCAACAATCCACATGGTGTGAGCAGCGATTCAGTCGGTGTGGCGCACTTTTGTAAGTCACATATTTTCTCCGCGAACGTGATTGTGTCGCGCCGACGGACTCTCTGAGCCTCGGGTGTCCGGGCGATGCAATATGCATGCGTGGCTCTGGCGGGCGCGCACGGGCACAACAACGACATCCGGCCGGCATTAGCCCGTAAATCATCGCCGACAACAAGCCACGGCCAGTCGTGCTGCAGGTCGATGTTGTGGCCGGAGCGTGACTCTGTAACAGCCCGAGGCTTCTGATACAATACCCCAATAGCTATTAGCTGTATAGGCACACTGCTCTTCGCACAGATGAGAAGTTTTTGTTATTGTTAAGTTAGTGATATTGGATGCGTTTTCTTACAATTATGTTACAATTATATAATACCTTATATACGTTTATTATACGCTTCTAGCCACCTTAAGAGCTCTGTCTGATTTTGGTCCATGCCTTTCATCACATTTTCTCGTCATCTTTTCAAAATGACCTCTCAAGGTCAAATTGTATGTATTTCATTCGATGCGCCTCGACGAGGGGAACACGATACTGGCTAAAGACACGTCGTCCGTTTTTCATGCGTTTTTCAGTCAAAAGTTATTGCCGAAAAACATTTTTCGTAAAGACAGATATTTTTTTCGTTTTGCCATCTGGAGGCTAAACCGTTGGTCTTGCATAGGTCAAATCTGAGAAAAGGAGAAAAGTTATTGAATGCGCTTTCTCGCGGCGCAGTAGCTATATCGGTTCCCGAGTTACGCACCGGTTCGTAGAAAAATGTTGAAAGTGAAACAAACAAAACTTGACCTTTAATGACCTCTGATGACTTGACCATTGACCTTACCTTCAAATGACCGGATAATTTCTTTAATACTTTTGATGCTCTTTCGAATGCCGCTAACCGCATGTCGCTATAGGTGGCCCAGGAGCCGAGATAGACGGGGGGGGGGGGGGGGAGTGAAAATGCCCCTCCACCAGCACGACATGTAAAACTCAGACAACCTGGTGCGGGTTAAATTTCTAGGTACCTGCATCACTAGGGGCTAGAAGTCGATGATTTAGCAAGAGTTCACAACTGCGTGGTAAAATGGACCACCATCTGCGAAGGACGATCGCAGATGAGCTAAGACGTCGCAGAGGTCTTACCCCCAAAATTTTGTTAACAACATGAAATATTTTTTTTATAAATTTAGTCCGAACCTTTTGATGGGAAGGATTCACAAGGACAGAGCCACCGCTAAGCGAAGCTTGTTGCGATGACCCTGCCCTCTACCCTCCGATCGCGCTAAGTGAGGTGCGCGGACGGTTCGACACTGCTGTCGGACAGCAAGGCTAACGCGATTGGCGTATACCAAGGCGGCGCCCTGAGTTGTCTCATGTACATGCTGTACTCAAACGATCTGTGTCTGTGTGTTCCCGATGACGTCACGGTAGTCCAGTATGCTGATGACACCCAGCTGATGGTTACTGGCAAGAAGAGCGACTTGAATCTGTTGACCGCGCGTATGGAGGATGCACTGGGTCGAATGTATCAGTGGTTCTGCCACAATGGAATGAGACTTAATGCTGCGAAAACACAGATGCTTGTGATCGGTACCCCAGCGATGCTTCGCAATTTGCCGCCTGTCACGCTGACTTTCTGCTCTACCACCATTACAGAGTCAGAAACTGTTAAAAATCTAGGAGTGACGATCGACCGTCACCTCAGCTTTGTGTCCCATGTAGACGGTGTGGCGCGGAAATGTACCGGGGTGCTGACAGCGCTACTGCACGCTCGTCACGTTATACCGCGGTCAGCACTGAAGCCGATAGTTGAAGCCCCGGTTGTATCTGTGCTACGGTACTGTCTGTCGGTGTACGGCTCGTGTGGTGAGGTGCAGTTAGGACGGCTGCAAAAAGTTATAAACTTTTGTGCACGCGTTGTGTCCGGTCGGCGACGACGTGATAGCGTGGCGGCTGTCATCAAGCAGCTGAAGTGGTTGACTGCCAAGGATTTGGTAACATACCACACAGTGAGTGCTGTCGAGCGTATCTTTGTGTCGGAGCAGCCGGAGTACCTCAAAGGTACGCTGGGGCAGCGGGCTAGCCAGCGGCACCGGCACAACACTAGGCAGGCCAGCTACCTCACCCTCCCCTTCATTCGAACGGAGTCGGGAAGACGTAGATTGTGCTACCGAGGTGTGACTCGTATGAACGAACTTGGAGTAGAACCAGGGACATTGTCGTACCGGGCGAACATCCGAAAGGTGCTGCTGTCTAAGCAACAGACATGAGCAATAGCATGTATGGGTGCGTGTGTGGGAATTATGCGTGCTGCACACTGTTCCTCGTTTTGTATCACACTATCATGACGTGGACATATGAAAAGCCTCACTATTGAGAGGACCTTGTCTGAATATATCTGTAATCTGTAATCTATTCCGATTCTATGGCAGAATTTAGAATCCAAAGTTTAACGTGCGCACAAATCCGCGCACGGCCGGTCCCCTCGCTGACTTCGCCTGGCTGCGGCCTGCCACCAACCGCAACCATACCTGTCAGGAGGCCCATACATGTCGAGCGCCCGTCGCGCTTCGAACCCGGACTGTGATAACCGGGAACGCGTGCTCTCACCACGCGGAGTCCAACGCTCTAACCAACTGAGCTACGGGACCGGCTAAAAAAGATGCTTAAAAGCCCAGCCTTGTGAAACCTTGCTTGTCCTAAAACGTGATTCTAACAACATTTCTTCACAGCAAAGCTCAAATAAAAATTACTTATGACAAAATTCACCTCAATTTAATCATTCTTAGGCCTGCTAAATTAAATCAGTGTGACGAAAAAAAACATTTTTCTCAATAGTTAAAAATCTTTACGTCCTAGCCTTATGAGCCGAAGAGGGCCATCGGTGCGAAGGAAAACAAATGTACAAAAGTATTTAGTGCGTAGTGCAGCATATACCAGCAGCGGTCCAGCCGGAAAGACTGGTGGTCCCTTTTGCCCCAGGTCTTACCCCATGTGCCCCTTCCAGTATAGGAAGAATATAGGTATTATGTGTTGTGATCCCGTATGTGATTGAGTAATGAGTTCAGATAGCTATTCGTTGGTTTGCTGGGTTATAAACGGCATCCAAAGACACATAGGCTAGGCCAGAGAAATTTATTATCAAAATGGTGGTTAAGTTACTGTTAATGCTCCCAAACTGAGCCAGTTCTCAACGCGACGGAGGGATGCTCGGAAAACTGTGTCCAGGAACGCATGCAGCGTCATCTATAGTATACAGCCCTGCTGGTCATTCCTCTTTCAGCTCGTAGAGGACGCTGCCATCACTGTCTGAAAAGGTTTCAGATAAAACCAAATTATTAACACGCATTTCTGCGGCCTTCAGGTTTCCCCTCCACTAGACAGTAATGTTGTAGGTGTTTATAGTTCTGATAGCGCCTTCCATTAATTCTTCATGTCTACGGAAGGTCATAAGAAGAGAAAATGACTCAGGTGTCTGGCACTTTCGCAACCTTCTGCACAACTTTTAAAAGTTATAGGTACCGTCATTAGCCTTTCATTAGATAGTAAAAAAAAAACAAGAATCCGTTAGATAAAAATATTCTAAGAAAACTGATGCATTGCAAGAAAACTTCCACTAATTATGTGGACCCCGGCATAAGTCGAATATCTTCTGCGTCAAAGTTAATTCACTATTAGGAGTCAGGATAGAGCATAACCGTCACGTCACGTCACATGCCACCTTGAGAATTGTCTCTAATAAATAAAAAATGACTGGTCTTAATCCACTGAAAGTGAGCATATCAATGCGACTGGGAACCGACTGGGTAATGCATATTATCCCTCGCCCGTATTGGTGTTTTTCCAGCCGCGAACGTATAAGGGGGGGTCCGTTGGACCCCCCCCCCTTGCCGTTTCGCCCCTGATCGAGCTAGAGCTTCGCGGAAAAAACGAGCGTGTTGCCCGTGACGAGAGGAAGCCGATGATACCTAATTTTAAGGTCCTAGGTCATTGGTTGACCTTGCAGGTCAGGTCAAAGACCCAAAAGTCGGGAAAATCAGAACCTGTTAGAACGTCGTAAAGTGTAGCTGCTATGGGGTTTTTCGGGGCGCTGATCACGAATATCATGTTAGTTTTGATCACAGATGATGGCTTTATGCATTTAGTCCAGGTCGGGTCAGGTCAGGTCAGGTCAACCAGTAGGGGTCCTGCCGGGTATTCCTAGTAGGTGTCAACCGCCTCTGACAGCTTCGTAACATGTTACGAAGGCACCAAAACTACTTCGTAAATGTTCATATGGTTGCTAAATTCGAATTCAGCTCCAAAAACTGGCCTAGAAACATGTAAAACTCGAAAAAGTGAGCCGAGGTCACCAAAGGTCAATGACCTGACCTGACCTTCAGGTGACCTTGACACCCACCCTAATGCATGGGGGCAACATCATATCACATGTTTGAACGCTTGAAACCACGAAAAGACTGCAAACGCGCACATACGCCGAATCGCGATTCCGGCCAAACATGGTCTCGAAAAGTAGGTCACAGGTCAAAGGTCATTGGGGTCAGGGTCATGAAATTTTCAGGGTAGGTGTAAAATTGATTAACGCGAGGGTACTGAAAGTTTCGTCGCGATTGGCCGCTTTT